GACAAAATGAAAGTTCCCAAAGTTACAGCACTATATAAAAAAGGTGATAGGTTAGATATAAAGAACTATCGCCCAATTTCTATCCTTCCAATTTTCTCGAAATGCTTAGAAAAAGTTATTTTAAATCAAATATCGTCATTTTGTGCAAAATATCAGCTAATAACTAAAGCTCAGTATGGATTCCAAAAAAATAAGTCTGTGAAGCTGGCTCTTCTTGAGCAAAAAGAATATATTTTACAAAACTTCGAGCAGAAGCTTCTGACTTTGGGCATTTTTGTTGATTTTACCCAGGCCTTTGATCATATCGATCACAATATTCTAGTTAAAAAGCTTGAGCGGTATGGCATAAGGGGTCTGCCACTTGAGTTCATAAAATCCTATCTCGGCAGAAGGCGACAATTCGTTTTTCTGAATGGCTTAACATCTAAAAGCAAAGAAATAATCTCTGGTGTGCCTCAGGGTAGCATTCTTGGCCCGTTGCTTTTTAACTTATACGTCAATGATATCGTACATATATGTCAACAGGCGAAGTTTATAATCTATGCGGATGATACTAGCATATTTCTATCGTCCAGCTCCTACGCCGAGATAACCAATATGGCAAATGATGTTCTACGTAAATTAAGCTCTTGGTCAAAACAAAACCGTCTAAAAGTTAATTCCAATAAAACTAAAGCCGTTTTCTTCTATACAAGAAGAACGCCTATCCCATTGCATCATAACATAGCGTTTAATCACACAAACATCGAAGTTTTGGACACTATAAAAGTGCTTGGCACGTATTTCTCCAGTAACATGCAATGGGACGAGCATGTTAACTTTGTACTACTCAAACTTAGTCAATTAGCTGGTATACTGAATCGAAATAGGTATATTCTTCCGGAATCAGTTAAATTATTAATCTAAAATACGCTATTTGTATCTCACATTAACTATTGCCATCTTGTATGGGGCACAACAACAGAATCTAACCTCCATAAATTACACTTAATGCAAAAGAGAATGATACGCGTTATTGCCAATGTCTCATACACCGAACATACTGACTACCTTTTCAAGAAATATAACATTCCAAAAGTTCTTGACATATACCGAAGGAGGCTTATGCGAGATTTTTATTATAGCATTAGGAAAAATACCTCTACACTCTTAGAAATAGTAAACTTAGAAAAAAGGCAACCTTCGCATAAAACACGAACTCCAGAACCATGGATAGTTCCTCGTTCTCGGACAAATTATGGTGACCAAATGCTTAAGAATACTTTGCCTCGACTACTAAATTCATTTGAGGAGGCTGGCACCGATATATCCTCTATAACCCCTTCTGAACTGAGATATCTTTTAGGTTCATTTTCTGATACCGGTGCCCTTAGAACTGCCTGAGATGAAAACGAGCTATTTCCTAGAATTGTTTTGTGTTCCTTACCCGACCTAATCATGTTAAATTGCAACTGTATACTAATGTGTGGAGCTGTATCGAATGAGTGAATCTGATTGACCAGGAAGTGTTTTGTTACTGTGTGTAAGTGTTTTGTGAGTCCAATGCTGCCATCATTTAAAGGGGGCCGAGGGCCCCACAAGCTGCGTTTGTAGCTTTTTTCCTCGGCCTCCTCCATTCTGTATGTAATGCAAACCAATAAAGAAAGAAAGAAAGAAATACCAAAAATCGGAGTCCGGTGTGATGTCGCCTTCTGGAATTGTATCCTCCCTCGGAAAACATGCCGCCTGGGCAGGCGGCACCGCTCGCACGGAATAAAACCGTTTTTTTTTTTTCGGTCCGCCGGCGCCCTTATCCCTCGCTCCTTTCCTCCTCGCTTTGGGTCGCGGTGGCAACAGCACGGAGTCGTGAAAGAAAGTCGACTTTCAGGACTCCGCAATATTTGACGCCAACGCACCGGCGCGGATCGGGCAAGAACTTCGAATTCGGCATTTGGAAATTGTTTTTTTACTTCAGAAATACAGAATTCACAAGTTTCGGATTTTGAGGATAATGTCCGGGCACGGTTTTCAATTGTTTCGGATAATAAACAAAAATATATGCACGCTGTCGGGGTCAGTTTCTCCGCCAGATAGCGCGAATTTCTGGCGGAGAGGCACCCAGCCCCAACGCCCGAGAGATGCCTCCCCTAACCCTAACGTTCCGCCGGTAGGCACCCTTCAGGACCAACTTCCCCTGCTTCTTGCCGGAATGATTAGACTATTCCAAGAGCGCGAGGCCACATTTCGCGCTCTTGCTGTTATTTTTTTATTCGCGGTAATTTCTAGTCGAAAGCATGTAATTCTGTTCAGTACACAAGGTGCGCGTGAGCGCAGCGCCACCCGTAGCTTACAGTGCAATTGTTTTTACAATTCATTTAACATTCCTTAGATTGCTGACATTGTTTTATATTATCACCATCTGTTCGTTTTGTTATGTTAACATTGGCTTGATTGAACTGTGTATTTAATTAAAAATTGTTTGTTTTACTTTGCCTTTAAATCGCCATCCTTTACTCCAAATGTTTCGAAATATCCGTTTTCTATATACTGACCAAGTTCCGCATCCCATCGAAGAAACATGAATGAAACAATATTGCATATTTTATTAATTTGAACATTTTCTACCCCACAAACGTTTTTTTTAAGTTCGACTTTGCATTTTTTTCCGGAAGAATATAAGTGGGGGATAGTCCGCTCTCTCCCGTTGCTCCGTGCCTCGTGCAAAACCGACTGCGCGAGCAGGGAACGAGCGGGCCCCAGAAGAGGGAAGGGGGGGGGGTGAATCCCCCCCCCCCCCGCCCCCTTCCTCCTGCCTACGCCATTGCAAATAACCCTATCTCATGCTCACCAAGGGAGCTCCCAGTCATGGCTTCTGTAAACTTTTGTTTGATGAGCAAAATTATAAGGACCAGACATTGACTGCGGTTCCCTCCAGATGCCCCTACTCACTGACACATGAGTGAATGAAGATTTTACAATATGAGCATGTATCTAGTTGAAAGTCATGCACTGCATGGGGGGGGGGGGGGGGGGGGTATACATAATTGCCCTAAACGAGGAAGCGACAAAAGCGGCTTCCGCTGTTCCGCCGCCCACCGATTCTCGGTTATGTTGACATCGGCTGCCGTATACAGCGTTGTGAACCAATAATTCAGCTTATTCCCCAGTTTATTTGAAACGTCGGGCGGCTAATCTTTGTTTTTGCACAAAAAAAAAAAAAAACTCTGTATGCAGACTGTATTTTGTATGTTGCACAAGTAGTGCGACCCCGGCTTTAGAGCGCACAATATACTGATGGCTGTTTTATCTCGTGTTTCCTTGTGCTCCCGTGAAAGCGACACGTTATATAGTTATATTTCTGATCTCTGATAACATTGTTAATATTCCACTTAGTTTGTTATTTCTTATCGCTTAAGTCATGAATTCATAAAGTTTATTATAAACTGTATTTGAAGTGTGCAGATGATACAAACCGTATTGTCGAAATGAGATCAACCGAAAAACATTGGCCGGCACTGGGATCGAAACAGCCCCTCACCATCCCCACCCCCCACCCACCATTGTAACACTTCCGACGGCACTGTCCTAACTCCCCCCACACACAGACACACACCTGGCTACGCCACTGCAAAGTACCGGGACGAGTTTTGTCTTTTAAAAAGAGAGAGAGCAGCACGGTGACGCGTGTGCAGCCGGGCGCCAGGCGGCGAGGCGCAGCGGCGCAGCTATCGTATGGCTTCAATCGCAGGATGCGTCGTGCACGAGTGCTTCAGTGATCTCAGCATTGTCTGCAAGCCAGAGCGAAGAGCGAGCATCAGCTCTGCGTCACATCAGCAAATCTGGAGCAGGGACATTTTAAATGATACGGCAGGCTTATGGCGAAAAAGCAGTAAGTTTTGCAAGGTGTTTTGTCGTCGCACTCGCACTTCATGAATGGCAGAACAACACTGGAAAGCGGCGCGATGCCGGGGAAGGTCGCCCTACCTCTCCTCGTCTTCCAGTGATGTTCAGAGAAATCAGAACTTTTGAATAAGACAACGGTCACGAAACTTTGTCATCAAGTCTGGGCCACTACTTTTAAGCGGAAACTGAGCGTTCAGCATAAGAAAAAAAAATAACACACTGTACATTTGTTTTGGGGGACAACCTGGAATCGTAAAACAGAAGACTGAAAGTGCCTCTGATGTAGTGGTGTAATTTGGGCAGTGCAGCACAGCCGCAAACTGGGCTAATAGCCATTAACTTCGCTTCGCACAACTAAATAGAAAACCCAGTGTTTCTTTTTTTTTTTTTTTTTTTTGCCGTGTCTGGTATTTTCATATAGAACTCCCACTGCAATGCGAAAATTGTTTAGAGGCTTGGGAATCGCCTGTGATACTTGTGAAGAGGGAGCTTCCGGTAATCATGAGAAGGGCGTGCCGACGTTTCACAAGGAGACCTATAGCTTTTTTCCTGAAGAAGCTAGGTCTCCTATAGTGCAACGTCGGCGCGTCGTTCCGAGATTTACCAGAAGCTCCCTCTTCACGTTCTCCTGCCAGCTTCGCTCGCCTTGGTGTTTTGTTCATGATACTTGTGTATAAGCTTACTACGAAACATGCCTGGCATCAAAGAATTCAATGTCTTCAGATGCTATAATAAATACATGGTAATAAATATTTTTGAATGTTGACGCATTCAAAGGACGAACGTTCGTTCCGGTAAGAATAATGTGTTTATACGTTTTTATTATGCCGATAATTAAAGCCGAAAGATACCGAGAAGTGCGTTGTTTCCATTTCGGAAGCAAGTACATTAATATACGAAGACGACTGCGTTACTTCAACCAGCATGTTTGATATAGAATTTCGTGAGCAGACTCTCGAAGTATCAACGTCAGGGATGGCTTGCACGAACGCAATTAAAGGTAAACGAACTTGTGTCCTTGAGACATTCCGTTAGATAAGCCCCATTAGATAAGACACATTCGTCGGCCCACACTTCACGACAACAAGTTGATATCTTGATTGCTTTCCTCCCTCTGCTTTTGGAAGCACAGTGATAACTAAGAAACCCAAATCAGAAGAGGCGCAAGGGGCTTCGAAATCGCCTGTTCCGTCAACGAACCACCAACGCGAGGGCGAAAAACGTGTCTTCTTCTCCTCAGGAACACGCTCCAAGAAAGGCAAGCATGGCGCCCGTTCTGGGCTACTGGGACATCCGGGGAAAGGCTCAAATGATCCGGAACCTGCTCGTCTACAAGGACGTCGCTTTCGTGGACAAGCGGTATTCGTACGGACCGCCTCCGGATTACGTCGGCGCCGAGTGGCAAGCCGACAAGTCCTCTCTGGGCCTAAAGTTTCCCAACTTGCCGTACTACATCGACGGAGATGTCACGCTGACACAGAGCCTCGCCATCCTGCGCTACCTCGGCAGGAAGCATGACCTTGCTGGCAGGTAAGGTTATTTAAAACCTTCCATGTAAGAACCGAGCAATCTTGCAGTCAGTTTCGTCGCAGCGGCATACATCGTATGGGAACTCTAACCTTTCTGCTCCTGCGACCCACCCTGCTACAGGTCAGCGCAACCAGAGCACGAGCAACACCACCTAGATGGCAGAAGCATGCTCATTACGTCATCATCGGTGAACCCCCACACGCAACAAGCGCAGAAAACTGTTTCACGACAGTCGCCGGAGAACGGCAAACGCGTCTGTCTGGGCGTCGCTGCGTGTATAGCGTCGCAGTCGTAAGCCGCTGCAAGATGTGCTGGCGACGATGCTGACGTAAGGTAGACCGCAGTTTCAGCTCAGAGGTGAATGGAGTATAGTAATGGCGATTGAGGCCGAAAGATGCAGGCCGGTATTGGCACTATAGACGGCACGAGTTGAAGAGCCCATATATATTACGGAGAGTTTCCAACTACGCGATCAGGGTCACGCGGTTTCACGTTTGAAACGCGAGCTGTGAGGAGTTGGCAAAAGCGTTGATTTTTGCGAACGTCTTCGCCTTTCCGCCTGCTTTCCTCTTCCTCGCCCAATTGCGACAACGCAGTTCATGCGCACTGCTCACCGCACTCGCAAGAACTAGGCGTTCACCATTAAATTGCAAACGCTCCCCACGGTTCGAGTTGAATCCTTTCTACCCAGGTATACTGGGTTCCATCTCCACCCCTGCCCCTTTCGACCAGGATGGGCATCGTACCGGCGTGCGGTCGTGTATCACACGCGATGCACATCAAAGACCCGCTAGCGGTTGTACCGCACTGGCTAAATTTCTCATATATAGCTGAGACACCAAGCGCCCACTAAGCCGGATCACCTTCCGGCTGTATAAATATGCATACAACACAATTTTTTTTAATCCTTTCTTTAAAACCCGGGCTGTCTTTCATGCACTGCCGCCTGCCTCATACGGACTAAAGTTATGGCGACGTCACGCGTGCCTAAAAACTTAATAAATGGGCCTATTTAAAAGAAAAATTAAATGTCATCTTGTGTAGCCGCGTGCAAAAGAGATGAATACTTGATTTATGTTGCAACGTTTAGCGCGAAACACATGCGTGACCGGACACTGAGGAGTACAAGAAGAGCTGATTGCAGTATGCGCACGTGTCGGGCGGCGCAATAGGTGTTCACTGCTTTAAACGTATCATAAATTAAAAAAAAAAAAAAAAAAAAAAACAATTTAGCCACGTACATTGGCTAGCGATATGAGCTAGAATACGCGAACGGTGGCAGTACACAAACCACGATGTCGCGCGGCGACCGTGCTTATGTTGGGGCTGGGGAGGTATCGCACGCGCGGCGGATGAGTAGACGCATATATCTGACCCTCCACTCACTGCCTGCTAGACCGAGCGGTCTGTATCTGCCTGGTCGCCGTCTGCACATTCAGAGATCATATCGCCAGCTAACGGACAAGGCGACGACGTCAAAGGTGACCACTGTTGATATAGCTATAAATCATGCATCTTTAGTAACGCTTAAAACAGTTTTTTTTTTCTTTTTGTTTTGTAACAGCGCTGTTAGAGAGATTTGAGTTACATATACTCGCTAAATATACAGCGAGTTATTTCAGAAAATTTCGTCATTTTGGTTTATAGCACTAATCCTGCACGCAACTACATAAACTTGCGGTGCCAGTACATTGCTGTTGGGAAACGGACGAAATACAAGCCACTAAAGAGATAGGAACATTTAATATATAACGGGCTCATCACCTAACGTATCTTGTCTATTGTGTACCTAGGAACTGCGGACCAAGAATGTCTAGCCGCTAAGATGTACAGTAATTCATTTACGTTTCAAGATGGTTGAACGTCACATTAGCAGATGTACAGTCGAGAATTAGCTAAGCGGAAACGACCGAGCAACGACAGAAAGAGACTGGCGGCGCTGCTCCGACGTGAGAGTTTGAACTATCGACAAGTACAAGCGTACGATATTAGAGTAGCACACTATCGCACTCAGCATGACCATGCTTGAACATTGCACGCCGTTGTCGCGCACGTGCTTCTACCTGGAGTGTTTCTAGCTATCATCATATCTGTCTGTTTGTACACAGGAAAAAATGATTTGACTGATGCAGGGCCCACGCGACCAGATGGTATGAAGGCGGCGACAAGCACGGGTGGTACGTAGCGAAGAGTAAAGTCGAGTCACAGCGAAGTGTTCCTTAAACGTTTTGGTTGGTTTCTGTTTTAACGTGAACGCGGCTAAGTTGATGTTTTACGTTGTTTTTGCTTAATTTTGTGTTACGATTATTTTCCTTGTAGCACACAACAAATGAAACAGTGGTATTGAGCCACTTTGTGGACTACGAGGTGTATTTTAGCCTAAATTGCGGGCTTTTTTTACCAACTCCTTTGGTGCATCTGATTATGATCGGTTTCGAAACGCCTGACGGATGTACAGGGAAGATTACCATCGTCTACGGCCGTACCCGGTGGCAACAGTTTTCAGAAAAACAAACCAATGAAGAAACTAACACGTGAATGTAGAGAAGCATATCGCCAGCTTGATTAGCAATGTGCTGAATCGGCCAGGACAGATGAACTCGCGAGTTTACTACTCCCTGTTTGGTTTTCGTGAACACCCAACCGTTAGTGAACTTCGCAGACTAAAAACGTATCGTGTAATGACGCAGATAACTGATATAAAGAAGTAGTATCGTCTCAGCCTCTTTTTCTATTTTAATTCAATACTCGAGAATGTTTTGACAGGCCCAGTAGGACATTTCTTAAATTATCAACCCTGCTAAAGCACGAATAAGCGGCGTTTCGCGATATTGGCCCTAGGAAATCAATTTTTATATGAACATTTGCTTACTCAAGATATGATTATGTGACAGGCCCGTCAAATTAAATCTGGCATTTGTCTTCCGCAATATTGGTCAAAAAAATTAAAAAAAAAAAATGAAAGGGCGCAGGAGGAGAAATAGCTCGGAGAGTTTGACTAAATTCTAGCGCTAGGCACCACTTCACGGACCTGTGTGAACAAATATTTAATTGTTTGAACAGATTCGCTTTGTAAATTTCGGCGTCGCCAGCCACCAAAAGGAGATCTCTATTCGCCATCGACAACCCTGGACTGACGTAATTGTTATGCAAACGGCTCTTTTTTTTTTTCTTTTTCTTTTTTCGGAGTCAAATATTCCAGATACTGACAAAATCTATGACAACGTACGCAAAAAAAAGAAAGAAAGAAAGAAAAAGGGTCGTTATTATTGCGCAAGCGCCGAACCCAAACCGCGTTTTGGATTTGCGAATAGAAACGACGTTATTTCTTTGTGCATGCTATTCTAAAACTCGCTACTGTTAAGTGTCTGTGGCAGTTTCTTACGCGGGAAGTCCCAACATTTGTATTAAAATAGATTTTATATAAGTGGATGGCACTGGTTATCTAAATATAATAAATAAATCACTTAAATGACTCGAAATGGGAGCGAGCACGGTATACAATTTCTTAAACTTCATTAGTAAACCTACCAACCGAATGTTTACGTCGCAAAAAAAGATTGAGAAGCTTATACACATGTAGGTGTGATATAATGAACAAACAAATCGCCTGATGTTGACGTACCATTACTTCTAGCCTCAGATGAAATACAAGTTAAACATTTGTTGTCTATCTCCTCCGCGAGTTTCCTCACATAATCAAAATAAACTGTTCTCGATATATTATGAATACAAAGAATGATACTGTCAGGACATACAGATAGTCTCCTTGCGCTGACTATTCTTGACGCCTTCCGATCCTAAATGCGCGATATAAATATACGCGCTTCTTACTGAGAATGTTCCGCCACTATTAGTAAAGAAACCTCAGTTGTCATAAGGACCTTTGAACCCTCGTAATGTTTTAGTCATCAAGTAGATGTATCGGACTAGTTTTCGAAGTAAGGCAAGAAAGCGCGGTGAAACGCGGCGAAAAACACGAAAACAATACATCCGTCAAGGCGCGGAGGGGAGAGCGGAGCAGCAAGTTGAAGCAACCTAATGGCTGCCGCGTCACGTGATTCCAAGATGGCAGCGCCCATGCGGTGGAGGATGAAAAGGTCTATAGATCTCACATAGCCAATCACTACACACTAAGTAGTGCGACGAATGAGGAGGCCGTGGATATGTTTACGTAATTCAAAAATAAAGAGGGGCACCGAACATCGAGTTTCACAAGGTCACGTCATGCGCAGAGTCACAGACTTCCATTTTTTAGCTTCAGACATGCTTCCGGACTGGTCATTCGTCAAATTCCCTTCATGTAATAATTGGATCTTTGAGGGCTTTATGGGAAAGTAGACCCGCGACCGTTTCATGAGTGTATACCGCCACATGGGCTGAGTCGCTTTCTGCGTATGATTGCGGGGAGGGTTGGTGCAGATCCTCCTGAACTCTACAGCTGCTCTTCTTTGTTTGCGGCTTTGCACCGGCTGTGACTGCTGTGCTTTGTCGGTGTTTGCTGTAGCGGTGAAATCAAGGACCGTTGTGTTTATAATTTAAAACGTATAACCGTGGTTACCGCTCCGTGATATATTTGGAGGAACAAAGACGCAGTGAAAGCGTTACTGGGAATCTGTGTTATCATTTTAATCTCGTTCGTGAACGGGGCGCATGAGTATTCTATTGGCAAGGAAAGATAATTGATTGAGCTTGAATTTTGGGTAACTGGTAAGTGAAATAAAGAAATAGCTTTAGAAAGACCACCCGAATTAGCTGTCGAAGCAGGATCGAAGAGGATAGGGACAGACTCGGACACGTGTATACGTTTTGGAAGATTTGGGGTAGCTGGCTTCGTATCTGCACCAACCCAAACAATATGCTAATAGCGCGATGCACGTTTCGACAGCTTTTTTTCTCTCCAGGTTTTGTTTTATTTTATTAATTGAGAAAACGAACAAATCATTTACGCGAATAATCCACACCAGTAGCCTACAACATTGAATGGGCTGTCAGCGAAACATTAGCGGACGGCCAAAAACGGCGATCATCCCAACGGGCATTTTTCTGACCTTCATTGGTTCAACGTCTCTTTTCCAGAGGAGAACCAGGGCTCAACGTTATCGGCTAGATGGACACAAAGTTTGTCTCCGATTCTGTAGATTTGGAGAACCTTGTATCAAAGCACCTACTCATGCAAAATGAATGGTAAACCGTTTTTATCAGATATTAACATGAAAAACTTACAGAAGTTCTGAAAAGAAAAAAAAAAGAAAGACGACGGAAACAGCACAGACAAATGAACATGCCAAATGTTCTGTGCAGCAGCATGAGGTCTGAGCACGCTTCCTTTTGCGCGAGCGGTTGTATAATAGTATTTGTTTCTTCATTCGATTGCACAATCATGGCCGCTGGATCAAAGCGCTCTAGCTCGTCTCGAGCACAGTTACCCAGTTTCGATGAATAGAGTATCAGAAACTCACGTATGAAAGTTAGTGAACTTTGTTGCTACAAAAACTGACTCACCTATAGCAACAACTGTTATGACATAAGATAGGCAAAAATCAGCGCGAAGACGTGCACAACGTAAGAGGTAACCGACAGGACACAACTCTGTCCTGTTGGTTATCTTTTTTTTATTATTATTATTTGTATACTAACTGGCTCAAACTTCAATGTTAGTCAATGCCAAAAGGTATACACGGTGTACGCTCCATGCAAGCACGAGCTGAACCATACCATGCAGATTCATAACGGACAGCGGACACCTCATGCTCAAAGTTTACTCTAACAGTAAGCGCTTGTTGTGCACTGATATGGTTGTTGCCAAACCCCTCAGCACCGGTCGTTGGAGAGCAATTTGTACCTCTTTTTGCTCACCGGAAATATAAACGACCTCTTTTTCCGAACGCTAATCAGCCATCGCCTGAGTGTAGCGCAAACAGCTGGGCAGAGACATCGAAATTTCAGGACTTAGCGTCATCTAACAAAAAAACAGCGTGATAAAAAAAAAAAAAAGAAAAAATCATGACGATGTGGCGGTTGGCGGATCCAGAAAATCGATGAGCCTAAACAGCCTTTGTTATATAAAGCGAATCTTAGAAGCAATTTTGTAAAATTGCTTCTAACTTTTGAATTAGATAACGTTAAGATCTGAAACTCATCTGATCCCAACTGCTAGCACTGCATCCTGACAGGAGATGAATGATTCAAAGATGAATTTATAAAAATTTCATTTTATTTTTTTTAACTAACCAAACAAACAATCACAGTTTTTTTTTTTTTTTTGAAAACGCCATGTAATTCTGAACCCCTTGACGAAGGCTGTAGATAGAAACCAAATTTGTGGAAACTTTTGGGAGTGAATACCACAATGCTGCTAGAGTCAGGCCTCCTTAATACGGACTTGTTAATATGAATACCCCGCTTTACTGCGTAAATACGTGCATTTCGTTTCGTATATATAATGGACAACTCATATTATAAACGTTTCGGGAGAGTGTGTGTGGGTGGGGGAGGGGGGGGGGGTATTGTTTATATAAACGAGACATCCAGTGCTCTTTTTTTTCTCCCCATCACCAGAACTGAGGAAGAGGTCACTCAACTAGACCTCCTGGAGCAGCAGGCTCTAGACCTTCAAAAGAAACTGGCCCAAACCGCATTTGACTCGAACTGGGAGGAGGCCCGAAAGAAGTACGAAACAAGCTTGGAAAACGAACTCAGACCCTGGAATGAGTTTCTCCACGGACGAGCGTGGGCCCTGGGCGGAAGACTGACCTACGTGGACTTCATGCTCCACGAAGCCCTGGACTGGATTCGCGACTTTAAACCTGAGGCTTTCCAGCGTTTCCCAACTCTGCTCAAATACCTTAACGAGTTTGAAGAGTTGCCCAACATTAAGCAGTACATGGCGTCGGAGAAATACCGCAAGCATCCTTTTATGCGTAGAAAATGGACGTGGGGGGTCAAGAAAACGTCGTGCCAGTTTTGAAAAACGTAACTAGGCTTGGTGGAATAAATTTTAATTTTAACGTTTCAGTGAATTCATTTTCCTAAACAAAAATCAGTTTAACTGGTTGACCTAACCTGTAAACTATACTGATAGAGCATGCTGCGTTGTCGAGAGATTGTATATTAAAACAGACTTTTATACACAATTAGGACCTTCAGGTTAAAGGAGGACCAGCAGAAATATTCTTCCGCCTGGCGGAAAGTCCTCCTCGCCCTCTTTCTTTCTTGTATTGTAGCACGGCGAGGAGAGGGGAAAGGTCCCCTTTTGCGCCGGCTTCTTCTGAGAGGATAAGCCCAGAAAATCCCCATTCTGAGCGACGGGCAATGGGTGCGGCAGCAGCGACCTCGTGAGTTAGAGGTAGCTTCAGCTCCTATCGCGTAATCTGCCCCATTTTTTGGCGCTCACCAAGCCTAGCTCCTCGGGTGTCGGTTTTCCGGAGCTGCAAGGCTGCGCCCGCGCAGTCACCGAATTGCCGCTTTCGAAGGTAAACGCATACTTGAGAGCTGTGATGCATCCCCGCACCCATTGAAGGAACGTTTCATAGATATTTTCGGTTGATCAAGGAGCTCAAAACACATGCGCGAGAAGTGGTGACTTGAATATGTAAGGATGACTCACATCTTCACAAAACATTCCATCTTCAAGAAAAAACGGCTTATCACGCTCAAATTGAGATCGATGGAAAAGAAAACGATGTACCAGGCGCGGGCATCTTCTAGAAGGTCTCTGTTTTCTAGGAGCGAGCACAAATTATTGAAGAACTTTAGCAGACTATGTTTTCAGGCCACGCTATATTTAGCGGGAGCTCGCGCTGCCACTTCGATGCATTCTCTGAAGCGCGCGCCTGAAGTGGCAGCGGGCCTTTGAAAACGATTTACAAACATGCCCTGTTGTGTGCCTAACTCGCAGAACATGATGGCCAGCAAAATGTATGAAATTCATATTTACACATTCCCAACAAGCACCTGAGGTGAGAGGGCATCAAGGGTGGATGTCAATTTTAGAAAGTTTTAGTGGGTCGCTTTTAGCCACTTAGATAACCGTATACGGTCCGTACCCCACAACGAAATGTAAGCTAGACTCGCTGTTTACATTCTTCATCGAGTGCGGCTATGGAGCGAAAAGACAATATTAAAACCCTTTTTGACGAGTCTAGCGTGTCGTGTTATGGTTCAACGTTGCTTGTATCGGTACCATAGCACGGACCGCCACTTCGAAGTATTTACGGTGTCTCAAAGAAACTAAGGCAAAAGCAGACAATTTTTTTTAACGTGACACAGAATTGTATTTAACATTGTAAAAAAAACTTTTAGGTACCCTACGCTACGCAGTTAGCACAAACTATCACCGGTGTTTCCCTTTTTTTTTTTTTTGTTAGAAGAGAACGTTGTTTAGGAAACTGTTAATGCGAGTATCCAACCTAAGCTGTAGATTTTAGTGCGAGTGGATACATTGCTGGGGAAAATAGCAAAAAGCGCGATGTCGTGTTTGCGCTAGCAGTGTCGCGTAATGTACGCATACCGCTGCACAATCAACGCTAACATAGTAAATCAGTAAATTTAGTGGCCCCCAAAAAAGTGGTGTTATTTTGTTTTATTTTTATGTTTGAAAAGTTGTTATTTTTAAACAAGCAATTCGGTAAAGAGTGCTTCCGCTGGGCACCAACTTACGAGGCATCAATTTGTTCTTATACACTAAATTCTGCATGGCCCTTGCGTAAAAATGTCAATATTGTGTTTCGTGCTAGATGTGTCACGCACAGTAAGAAAACAAGTTCATTGCTCGAACATTTAAACAAGGCCTTTCTTACGCTTTCTTACGCCAAATAGACGTTTTGTGAATACGCTCTATTACTGGTGGTTCGTAAAATAATCTACGTTGTTTATTTAGAGGAAGGAAGTGGTGGTGAGGGGAGGGGGAATTGAATACAAAAGACGACTCAGGGAACCTTGAACTTTGTAAATATTTCGCTCAACCTATAATCCTGAGCTAATTAAATCACTTTTGCTTTGTCTGTTTTAGAACTTGTCAACAGTCGCGCAATAGGCCAAGATGAGCGAAAAGTCAGATGCCCCTGTTTATTTGAGCAAGAAGCTTATTTATGCGAGATAGAGCTGAAAAAGCGTACGTGTGTAACCGTAGCAATCTCCGACTAAGCCTGAACCTCACTTTTTCGCCATTTCATCGAAAGCCGTTTCACCGAATGAACGGACACTTCATCGAACGCCGTTTCATCGAACGCCGTTTTATCGAATCGCCAAGGGCCGTTTCATCGAATTTCTCAGTTATGGCTTGTGGGAACCATCGGGTTCCCTCTATCCCTATCCAGGCCTAGCTTCAAGCAGGCCGTGGGAGTCGTCGTCACCAATGGCGTCGGCCTCCCGGATACAAGGAACCACGAGGCCGAATTCCCCGAAGGGGCCGACTCTCCCTTGCCCATTTGGGTGAACGCGCCTTCGGCACACCCTTCAGAGTTATAATGGGCGCGACTGCTAGTGGCCTCCCCGGGCGCGTCCATTCTCCGAGGCTACATAAGCTGGCCCCGAAGGTGGGCCAGGGGCTCTCGTCGGCGGAGGCCCTGGCTCTACGGAGCTCGGTTTTTGTTTGTGGGCCTCCGACTTCTCGTGAATCTGTCTAATGCGGCAGCGCGGGAAACCGACCGGGTGATACTGGCAATTGAGCCAGCGCCCAGACTTTTCATTGTCTAAGAGCGAAGCGTGCTGACATTGCAGTCAATAAACACGTCTTTATCTGGACCCAAGGAACTCTTTGTGTTTCTAAGTGGTAACCACCCAAAAGGTAGAACCCCACAGGCTCTGTACCGAGTTTTGGGGCATAACAGTGCTTTATAGATGTTTCACCTTGCATTTGTTAAGACTAAGGTAGTCACTTGAGAAATTGTTTTGAAGGTGGTGTCAAATTACTAAAAATAAAAGCAATTGGCATAAAAAGAAATAAAAACAATTGGGTATGCGACTTTCTGAAAAGCCTTACTCTTGTACATACATGGCTGAAACCACGACGCTGCAAATAAAGGACAGACACTTAAAACACTTTTAAGCGTCTGTGCTTTCTGTTTTTGCCTCATTTTTTATTGTTTCGTGTGACATGGAGAGGGGTCATTGTTTCATGGAGGCTTCCTTCTCGAAGCAGGATATGTTCACGATGGAACTTATCTCGCCACTGCACCCAGTGATATAAAAGCAGAAACAAAAGAAAAAAAAGAGAGAATGAGATGAAGTTGTGTATAAAAATTAAAGTAAATTCCAAAGTATTACAGACTGTAACATTGTTCGATGAAAAGGCGTTCGATGAAACGGCTTCTATGAAACGGCTTCTATGAAAGGGCGTTCGATGAAACGGCGTTCGATGAAACGGCTTCGATGAAACGGCATTCGATGAAACGGCGTTCGGTGAAATGTCCGGACGCACTTGTAGCGGTACGCGTGCATTACGTGGCACTTTTAGCCCGAACGCGACATCGGCGCTTTTTACTATTTCTGCCCAGCAACATGTATTGTCTAGCACTGAGCTCTGCCACTTAGGTTGGATAGTTGCATTGACAGTTTTCTAAATATCATTTATTTCTAAAAAACAAAATCAGAAAGACCGCCAATAGTTTGTCCGTGCTAACTAAAATGTGTTTGCACAGACAAATTACAAACGCGTATTATGTTAAAAAAAAGGCTACAGTTGATTTTTTTATTTTTTATTTTTAATGCCTCAGAAATGCTTTAAAGTGGCAGCACGTGCTATAGCGCCGATTTAAGCAACGTTGAACTATAACATCAGACGCTTCGATAGCCGCACTCGATCAAGAATGCTCACAGAAAGGTTATAGCTTATAAATTGTTGTAGGGTGCGGTTATCCAAGAGCTAAAGACGATCCACTAGAACTTTTTAGTATCGACACACACCATAGCTGCCTTCTCACCTCATGTGGTTGCTGGGATGTGTAAATATAAATGTCACATACATTCGTTGGCCATCATATAGTGTGAGTTACGCACACAATGTTTGTGCTCGCTGCTAGAAAACAGAGACCTTCTAGAAGATGCCCGCGCCTGGTACATCGTTCTCTTCTCCATCGATCCCAATCTGAGGCAAATTTGAGCGTGATAAGCCTTTTTGTTCAAGATGGAACGTTTTGTGAAGATATGAGTCATCCTTACATATTCAAGTCACCACTTCTCGCGCATGTGTTTTGAGCTCCTTGATCAACCGGAAATATCTATGTAACGTTCCTTCAATGGGTGCGGGGATGCATCGCAGCTCTCAAGCATGCGTTTACTTTGCCACGGGCTAAACTAAAGACCTTCGACAGCGGAAATTCGGTGACTGCGCGGGCGCAGCCTTGCAGCTCCGTAAAACCTACACCCGAGGGGCTAGGCTTGGTCAGCGCCAAAAAATGGGGCAGATTACGCGATAGGAGCTGAAGCTACCTCTAACTCACGAGGTCGCTGCTGCCGCACCGATCGCCCGTCGCTCAGAATGGGGATTTTCTCGGCTTATCCTCTCAGAAGAAGCCGGCGCAAAAGGAGACCTTTCCCCTCGCCTCGCCGTGCTACAATACAAGAAGAAAGAGGGCGAGGAGGACTTTCCGCCAGGCGGAAGAATATTTCTGCTGGTCCTCCTTTAAAGTGATACTGAACCGAAATATGGAGCTCACAAAAGAAGGCTGGAGCGAAAGGCAAAGCGCTGCAAAACCCAAAAACATCGCCCATACAGCGATATCTCTAACGGTTTGTCGTATTTTTGGAAAAGAAGTGCGATAGTGAAAACGGCCAACGAGGCCGACAAGATTCTCTCTCCTCTTCGCTTCGTTCCCTCGAGCAGGTGAACCAAAGCGAGTAGGAGATAAGCAAGGCCGCTTCGCTTCATTCTACCGCAGAATCGTGACGTCACTGTCCTCGCTTGATCGCACCCTTCTTTTCCAAAAAATACGGCTATTCGTTTGAGATATCGATGTGATTTTTTAAGGAGTTCGTAGCGCCCCGTTCAACGTTTCCGCAGCTTTATCTTGCAAAATCCAAATTCCGGTTCAGCATCTCTTTGTGTGCTGATAAGGGTAGGGGCGGATCCAGAACTCCGTTTGGGGGGAGGGGAATTTTTTTAAGGATACTATTTTTCCATTCGACGGAGGGGTTCTCCAAGTTCAGAGTACAAGTGTGCCTTCTAGGGTGCGACCTACCCTATTTTGAACCCTCGTCCTTTAGTACCGAGCCTTCTACCACATGGCAGGCCGGTAATCGGTTTTATTTTATTTATTTATTATTATTTTTTTTTTGGGGGGGGGGGGGGGGTTTGGTGGTCTACCCATGTCAAATTGCCCTCCGAGAAAGGGGGAGGGGGGTTGACTTAGTTTGAAGGGACGGGGCGGCCGCCCCCGTCGCCCTCCGCCCTTGGATCCGCCCCCGCACCCAACCTCCCAAGGGCGCCCCCTCGTCTGGACGCCCGGTCACGCAAATGTGGAGGGAAATCGGCGTGCGCACGCTGCGGCTCGAGCTGGAATCCTCCAAGCCACCCCTCCTTCCACGGCCAGCGGCCGCCGTTCAACGAGCAAACCCTCGACCCACAAGAAGAAGAGGAGGCACAGCTCTTTGCCACTCCCGTGCACTCCACGGTCCTTCTAGCATTCTGCAAGGAATATAGACCGTTCCATTAGAGTCATAGCAGAGAGGGTAAAAGAGAAAAAAATGCACTCCCCCTCTCACCCCTAACGTCGTCTGCTGCGCCGAGTGGGCTGTAGCTAGCGTCCGGCTGGCGTGCAAACTCTGTTTAAAATCGCGTCATTTTGGAACCTTCAAGCGCAGATGCGCAGATTTTGGTATGCCAGTTGTCGTGTATTACTATGCTACACAAAAAGACTCACAGGGTCCAATTGCGCTTTTACCTGCGTGCAAATAAAAAAAAAATAGGGAAAACTGTGTCAGATTTGCCGGTCTCTTTGGCGAAAAGTAAATCCGGTTGCTGTCCCTTTTTTACAATACAAAGTTTGTACTGGTGTAGGCCTCTAGCGACCATGAGTGAAAGTCTGAAATAATAAATAAAACGTGCTCTCCTGCCGCAATACACGCAGTAGTTGAGGGTAGTACTGCAGGCTGACTCAACTGCTATTTAAGTGACGGAAAAAATATGCTAGTTGATCATTTAGAGAAATAGAACAACAGAGAGCTATAGGAGGTATTCACTGGCGGCCATAGCTGTGTGCGCGACTGCTGAGCGCGTGCTGATGGCTAGCTTCCAGGGCTCTTTTGCAACGTGCATTCCACACCGTCAAAATGGCCGGTCTTAGCAGCCTATTAAGGGGGGCTCGTTCTGAGCATGCGCTCTAAACAGCACCCTCATATATGGCGCCCAGTGAATACTCCTTATAGACGATTGCAAGCAAAAGAACTGGCCGCCGACATGTCTTTGCTCGTGCGGACAAGTTCGTACAATTTCAAGCTTGCCAAAGCTATGTTCGCGCGGAAGTTGCACACGCTTTCAAGCGCGGGGCACCAGTCAGGGCGACATGCTTGCAGTAGCCACAAGGCGAACCACTTCACAACGGCAGCCACGAGCGAGAGTTCGATGTTCCGTGCTGTCCGCCGATACAGCCCAAAGTTGGAGAACAGCAACCTCCCGGTTTGTCGTCTGCTAGCGGAGTCGGGCGCGTGCCCTCTCCCTCGTTTTACCCCGCCGAACCCGCTGAACTACCCGGATGTGTGGAGAGGGCGCTGCAGTCAAACAAAATGGTGCCGCCCAGAGAGCGCTAAATGGAATGGTCTATAGAAGAGAGTATCCACAGCAGCATAAGACGCTGACCCGAGAGGAGGCTATTCCAGACAAACATATACACTTAGCTTTATTGCACAAACTTTCCTCAACAATACCCAGCCGAATCTCCCTTTTGCGGAGATCACCCGTCCCTCTACCACGTTACGTGGGTCTGTCCCATTAGCTCCTCCCTTTCCCCTTACCTCCTTCCTCCGAACGCGAGGCCTGAGAAGTTTCGCTGCGCAGCCCCTCCCCCGACAACCAGCTCGCCCTGATACGGCGGGCAAGAGCTGCAGCAGAAAGCACTGGAGCTCTGAACTGAGGGCTCTTACCCCGACCTTCGAGTTTTCCTAAAATGGCACAATAAACTATGTACCACCACCTTGCAAGTAGCGTCAAATGCGCGAGTGCACCGGGCCCGTGTCTTGAGCGGCCCTTGGAAGCAAATGGCGGCGGAACACACAATTTCGTCACAGCCGTATGTGTAGAGAGTTTGGCCATTCATTGGGAAGTATAGGAGACAAATGAGGAGGGGCCATTAGGCCGAAAGCGTGCTGGGCGTGTTCCAGGGCGTCTTCACAAATTCGAATGTGGCCAACCAGAAGCCGGAAATAATGCCCTGGCGGTGGTCGCGAGAAACAAACTTAATAAGTGCGTCGGAGTAACTCTCGGCGATTGAAAATATGGTGCACGTGATGCTTCAATCGCGGTCATCCAAAATTATAGTGGAAAAGTACGACTAGCGGAACAATCGACATAGTCCGTACGCCAGGCGTCAAAGGCCAGGAATAGGCCGTCCGAGCGGTCTCACTCTGCCCGAGCCAAACAGTTCAAGCAGCACATTCCATGATAATGATCGAAATATCACGTGTACCCTATTTTCAACCATGAAGGGTTACTACATTGAACTCTTACGCGCTTATAAAAACCATATACCTATTATTAAAATTGTTTCTTGGTACCAGCGCTAGGGGATTCTTTTCGGCTGCTGGTTGGCCAAGAGGGAATGTCAGGCCCTCTTTCTGCGTCTGGTGCACGCCCTGGCTCTGCCCGTGCCCTCCCGTTGACCAAGCTCTCTCTACACACGGCTCTGACGCTTGTGGCACGTGTCTTGCGCGTGTCCACTAAAATGGTTGGCGGTACTTGTAAAAGAACTCCTTTATCAAGGGGCTTTAGGCGCAACACTTTTTTTCTTGAGGCGGAAGAGAGCATATGCTTCGTTTCAGCTGAAGTCCAGACACAGCCCATGCTACAATTGCGAGTTTCGGGCTTTCAGTGTCCCTGCCAAGCACGCTCGCTCGTGCAGTGCATGCACTGTTCAAGGCCACTTGCTCGCGCTCGTAGCATCGGTTTCGTCTGGACGGTCTGGACTTAACCTGAAACGAAGTATAGTAAAGTATTTGCTCCTACTCTCACTAAGAGAGGAGGGTAAGCCGTAGGGGGGGCAAATACTTAACTAGGAAACTCACCTAGCAAAGTATTTAAAAAAGTATGGGCAAAGCAGAATTTTTTTCCACGAAATAAAAAAAACAATACACGCACGTTCATTCAATTAAACGGGACGAAATGCGGTAGATTTACAGGTATGTCATTATTGGAAACAATTTGAAAAGGAAATGGTTCGGTGATGAAATAGTAGTGATATGCCGTGCACACATCAAGGATGACGTCAAGGACGGCTTCTAGGACGACATTGAGGACGACGTCCTAGAGGATGACGTCAAGAACGACGTCTAGGACGATTTCAGGGACGGCGTCTTCGAACGACGTCCTAGAGGACGACGTGAAGAACGACGTCTAGGACGGTCTCTAGAACAATTTCAAGGACGACATCTATGACAATGCCGAGGACGACGTCAAGGACGACATCGCGAATAACGTCGTAGACGGCAACGTCAAGAGAAACGTCTAGGATGACCTCTAAAATAACTTCAAGGCCGACGACCTCTAGGACGTCGGCCTCAAAGACGTTTTCGTCGTTCTTGACGTCTTAGAGGACGACGTCCTAGAGGACGACGTCAAGAATGACCTCTATGACAACCTCCAAAACGACATCGAGGACGACGTCAAGGACAGCGTCTAGGATGACGTTTAAAAACGGAGAGATCGTTTGTCGTACGGCCGCTACCTGTGTGGCGCTGCCTTCGGAATCGTCCCCTTTCGCCTGCCGCTCCTCTTCCCTCATTTTCTCCGATCTGGCGGGCCTGGTGGTCTATTTTTCTGGCGCGAAAGGCGCAAGCTTTCCCACTGCATAGGATACTAAGTATAGCATAGGCATAAGCATAGGATACCATGGTGCGATGCCGTTACGTGCAAGTAATGTTTAATCCGCATAACTTCCGTTAGATTGGGTGGCGTTTGTTTGGATCATTTTTTTATTATTATCCTTACGAAAAAAGCAAGTTACTCCAACATGTCTTGACAACGGTACTACAGCGTCTCCAGTTTTAAGATGACCTCGAGCCCGGCGTTGAGCGGTGCGATGGTCCGCTGAGTCAGGGGCGCAGTGGCCCGTGTCGCGTTGCCGTTAGGGAAGCCGAAGTTCTGAACCAGGCTTCGGTGCAAAGACCACGGGGGCCGCGTGACGTTTGCCGATTGTGTTGATCACCAGAATCACGCTGATGAGAGCCACGAGTGACACCAGGGCGTACATCAGCACCTGCTTCTCCTGCGCCGGAATCCGCAGTCCGTACGCCCTGCAGAGAACCGATTGGGTGCGCTGCTCAGTCTCACACACTAAGTATATCTTTACATTCTTAGGCCCGCTTCAAGGGCTGTCCGAACAGGACACTTCAAGAACATGTGAGCGACACTTCTCCGCCAGATGAAGTGCGGAGATCCGCTTCCGTCCGTTTGTGTTTTGTTTTTGTTGTCGTAGATTTTTTCCGGAGGGAAAGTTTCTCTCCGCCAACGTCCGCTTTTGTCTTTCAAAGAGGCCTAGAGCATGCCCATCACGTGGGTCCGGACAGCCACTCACACGCTTTGTTGGCTGTCAGTCGAATGCCCAAGCCCCCCGCTGCTGTTCAAGTCCTGAAAGTTTCAAAGAAAAGAATACGAAAGCGCAGGGAAGGGGGGGGGGGGGGGGGGGCAGAACAGATGGACAGGCAGCAGGCACACCATGGGCAGGTGGCATATGTGATGTTAAGTCTGATGAGCACCGACGTCTCAGAAAAGCCAAGGAGGCGAGGAGGAAAGCCGCGATGTTTGCATGGTGGATGTCCAAACAGAAGACGGACTGTCGGACTTCAACTTTTACTTCATATGGCAGAGAAGTGTCGTTTCACGCGTTCTGAAGTACGCTGTTTGATACCCTTTCAGACGAGGCAACATGGGTCTTCCGCTTTTACACGCAGCAACTTATGCGGCTCGAATTACTATTTTACAGCGAAGCTGTAAATGATTTGCAGGTCGCATTTTTTTCGTGTTGGCGTCCTCTCGGAATAAAACCTTTAACGATTGAAGAGAAAAGTGCATATCACGCATACAACATACAGCACAGCATTTGTTTCAATAAAAACAAGGACAAAATATGCATCCGACCCACATATTTGATGATAAGGCGCTTCTGGTGACACTGCGAAGCATGTAGCGCTCACCGCATATGTTTCAAGGTAAAATTGCTGTTGCGCAAGCTGCCGCAGTGACGGCAGCTTGCGACATGGAGTGACGTCACTAGCCTTTAATATTGTTGCGGGAGTCTCAGCTCATGGGCTAAACGGGCAACCCGAAATTCAGTACCCCGTTCTCCACACGACCTCTTCTTCTTCTCCTTTTCTTCCTTTTCCTTGTCCGTTACACTCGCCCCTCCCTGTTTGGAAGTCCGTCCCGGACGATGCTAAGATTGTCACCACGTGTGACATAAAGTTTCGGATGGCTTGAATGGGCTGTCAAAGTGCAGCGTCGCCCACGCTGAGGCAGGGTGTCAAGGTTTTCGAGACGGTACGTTACGGGTCCAAGTTGCCTGCTGATCTTGAAAGGTCCGCAGTATCAGGACAAAAGTTTTTCCGAGTGCTGTGGACGTCTTAAGTGCCTTCGAAGAAGCATCACATCACCTGGTGAAAACGACGGCAATGAGGTGTCTCTGTTGTGACGTTCGGCCAACTTTGATTGCTTATTTATAATTGCCAGCCGAGCCAGTTTTCTTGCTTCACTTAGTCGTTCAGCGAAGTTCTCTTCATACTCTCGCGTCCGGAGGGTCCACGCAGCGCCCATCGATGAATCCTGCGGAAGCGTCGGGAGTCTTCCGTAAATTAACAAGCTAAAATGGAGATTTGGCGGTCCCATCCTGTTGTGAAGTGTTCAAAACGAACGCCGCTGTACCAATGAACGTGTCCCAGTTCTTGTGAGATTTACTGACGAACACAGCTAATATATCTCCAATGCTGCGGTTGGTGCGCTCTACTGGGCCATTCGTTTGAGGATGGTAGGGTGAAGCGGCCGCATGTTTAATTCCGTAATCTCGCAAAGCACAACCGAAAGTACGGGACATAAATGACGTTCTTCTGTGAGATATTATCAGGCGGGGTGTACCACGCCTGATTACAAGGTGTTTGTTGACGAAGGCGACGAGATGCACGGCTGAAGTACCGGGGACTGCCTCCACTTCGACCCACTTCGTCATGTGATCCGTTGCGACAATGACGTACACATCGCGACACTGTTAGCGCGAACACGACATCGGCGCATTTTCGCATTTTACTTCTAAATAGTATTAGTGAGCACGAAGTTTTATCGCTTACACTATAGAACTAAATGAGTTCTTTCCGCAGCAATAATAACTTGAATGGCATTCCTTGGTTTCAAAGAGAAAAACTGGAAAAACCGGCCATCGCTTGTTCTCGCTAACAGTGTCGCGCTCTGTACTTGTTTCCATCATTAGGTTTTGGAAACGGCCGCAGGTGATCAATTCCGACTACCTCAAACGGGCTGCCTGGAGGCGGTATTTGCTGTAGCTCGGTCTTCGCCGGGTGCGGTGGTGTTTTCCGCAGTTGGCATGTTGCGGAAGACGCGACGTACTGTCAGACATCCGTCCTGAGGTGCGGCTACCCAAATCTCTTGGCGACTTTGTCGAGCGTCAGGTGTTGCCCGAGATGACCCGCAGTTGGAGCACCATGAAAAATCTCAAGAACGTTCCGACGCATTTTGGGGGGAACGACGGGGATGTGCTCGATGACAAAGCAGAGCGTCCCGAAGCTGGTAGTACGCTCGTAGACGCCGTAAGCGACCTTCTGAAAGTCGCGGTCTCCCGTTCACTTTGTCAAAAAGAAACTGGATTATGTTGAATGTGTCACATTCCCCTGCTTGCGCCGACTGCAAATCTAAGAGTGCGAGTACAGGAGCAACTCTGGCGTCTTCGATGGGGTGCCGTAAGAGGAAGTCGGCCTCCTGGTGCTGTTTTTCACTTCTATGAACGATCGAAAAGTCCAACCCTTGTAATTTCATTGCCCACCGAGTCAATTTCGGAGTAAGATCGTTTTTTGACTGAAGCCAACGGAGAGCAGAGTTATCTGTCACGACTGTAAAATGCTTTCCGTAGATGTACGGATGGAACTTTTCCACTGCCCAAACAACAGCGAGGCACTCGAGTTCTGAAGAATGACATCGACTTTCTGGTTCGCCGAGTTTGCGGATTTTAGGAGGAGAATTTTAAAACTTTTTACAAACAAACTATGGGTACAACTTGCTTGTAATATTAAGTAATAATATTTATTAAAAATTTATTTAGTTTTCTAAAAATTGCCAAACATGCCTGCTCGAACGACAAATGGCAAACTTTGGAAATCTGTATCTGATGAAATAATTTATTCATTATTACGTAACTTGCAGACATTATTTTACTAATATATGGCTATTATTGAAAAAATAAATAAGGTATCTGAGTGACACAATAGTTACAATATATTTAGGCAAACATGGGAAAAAAATCAAACAAAGAAAAATTCCAATGCGAATAAAAAAAAACACCACCTTCGATTTTTTTTAAATTTGGGTACCCTGTTATACTCTATTTCGGCATTCATTTCTATTAAAAACATGTTGCATCATTGCACTGTGAAAGAAGAAACAACTTCCCAAAGTAGGGTCCTTTTTCAAAGCCTACACTTAGCAGTGTCCTATACAAGAAGTGACTCTGAGTTCCAGTTTCATGAAACTTGCACAAATCTTTTATATACATTTATTCAGATGAGGTCATTGATAAAAAGAGCGATCGGTCACACAGTAAAAGGGAGGAGAAACTATATACAGCATTTTACATAAGCGTACAAAGTGGTATCATATTAGAGACTAATGATTTGAGAAAAGATGATGCAGTGTGAAGTTGTACCTTCCGGTATATTTTACATCTAGAGTAAAATAAATAACTTTACTTCCACACACAAAAACAAAGATATAATAGTAAGATATTTAGGTTGGCTGTGTATTTACGATTACAAAAAATTTCAGGTGACGGATGCCATAGTGCCTAACTGGAGCAGCTTCGATGCTCTCGGTGTATGAATGAATCGTGGCAAGCCGATATATTTTATCCTGCTCGAGGATAACATTCTGGGATTTTTTTTATAGTGACCAGATAAAAATTATTAGTAACCACCAACAAAAACAGTAGGTTAAACACCCCGTGAAGAAAAATGTGATAAATAAGATGTCCCTGCATTCAAAATGAGCAGTCCTTGGGAAATCAAATTCGGCACTTTACGCTAAGGTTTTCCTCGCTGTACCTATTTAATAAAGTTGCTTCCAAGCAGATCCGACAGGTCCCTTCTGTTGATGACTTGCTGAGCCGCCACGCGTGCCAAGACTGAATGCCAGGGAAGGCGCGCACCGTCAGTCACTTTTCTTTTTTTTTGTTCACGATACCGAACAACCTCATTTTCGTCCAGATATACAAGATGCACGCCTTTCAGTTTCTTTGATAGAACGCTCACCATTGTCCTGGCCGTCTGAATTGCGCTTACTGAACGTTCTCTCAGGTTGTTCAGCGTGGCCTGGTGCTTCACGAGTCCGCCAACTCCGTCACATGCATTTTTCCCATGTCCAGATGCAGAAAATAACCACTGGGCTTGTGGGCAATCGTCCTTTGCAAATTGGTGAAGCTGGTAGCGATTCTTGAAATGACTGGCGGCGCCGTCAATTACGTACGTCACGTACGAGTATACCGCAACGTTGTCTTCAACCCACTCCTTCACTTTTTCTAGAGCCAAGCAAGCGTGAGCGGCGTCGTGACACAGGTCCTCACTGATGATTGCAAAGCTGTTTGTAGATTTTCTTGTCGTCACTACACATGTAAATATCGAAACTTGTTTTTTTTTTCCAGTGATATGCTTGCACTTCGTCAGGAAGCACGATGGTCCAGTTTTCAGCAAAGTCAAAATGAAAGACAATGCTCCCGCGTTGCATGCACTGTTTTTCATCGTAGATCGCTTTACCTTGCGTTTGCCGGATATGGTTGTGAAGTACCCAACTTCCAACCGTCACTTGGATGACTTTTAGGAAAGTCTCAGGTTCCAAAGTTTTTTTCACAAGGTCGCCGGACTCCCAAGTTGCAAGCACAATCTCTTCATCCTCCGGGATATCAAGTTCCTGGAGTGTAAGAAACTGGCCTTTTGGGCAGTGATCACAGTCTCCTTGAAGGCACAGTTCTGTTGCTGGGTCGCACAGAAATGCCGAGTTCATTTCACCAGTGTTGAATGTTGAG